TAGGAGTCAGAGCCGACTAGACAGCACCTAACAGCAACCTCTAGTCTTTGATGAGTCAAAAATATCACTGAAAAATGCAGCACCTTATGACTTACCATAGTTATAGAAAATAAATTACAGGAAATCCAGAAGTATTATCAGCTAATAAAAAGCCAGCTTATTACTGTATTTCTTACTTCTAACTTTGGAATTTAATTATGTGGAAGAAATATATTGAAGATAAGATGGCAATGGGTTTGGTTTATTTTTTTGAGGAGAAGGATATACTTAATCCAAGGTGGAGCACAGGCATAGAGGTAAAAAAGAACATCCATGAATTGATAAAATTCAATTAAAGCTGCTTTTGCACACATGTGAGATTTCAATGATAAAAAGGTTACAAAAAACTATAAAGAAACAGCTTTAGAATAGGTATGATGTACTCACCCTGCTGACAAGCTTTAGGATATTTAATATAAGACACAGATTTTGTACACAAGGACCAGACAGTTATCCGCAGCTGTTGGAAAATAAAGGAAAAGGAAAAAGCATGTATTTAACATTTTCAGAAGGATGTCTCAGAGCCTCCCACTCCCAGTGCCATCGAGTCAATTCTGACTCATAGTGATCCTATAGGTCAGCAGAACTGCCCCAAAGGCTTTCCAAGGCTATAAATCTTTACGGAAGCAGACTGCCTCATCTTTCTCCCACAGAGCAGCTGATAGGTTTGAACTACTGACCTTTTGGTTAGCAGCCAAGTGCTTTAACCATTATAACACCAGTGTTCCTTCTCCCAGAGATTTGGTACCAAAGTAAGAGATTCACTGCTAAAATGGAAAATAGTTCCATAGCTGTTTTCCCTCTTAAAAGAAGTATCCAAACTACCATTTTACTGTTGTTAAAGCAAACTGACTGCTCTTGGTATTTCATTTTCATTTTGTAACAATAATATCTGAGTGTGTAAAAAGAATGCAGGAGCAGCATTTGCCTCTAACCACCTCTAACTTCACAAAGGGGAGACAGAATCACCATCAGCAGCCCAAGGCTTATTCCTACGAGGCCAGACATACTGCCACTCTCCAGCTTTCTTAATAATTTTGACACCAACTACCCCTCCCATAATACTCACTACCTCTCTGCTGGGTTTGATAATTCATTACACAGAGCTCACAGACAATACTCAAGATTATGGGTTTACTAGGGAAGTAACAGGTTACAATTCAGGTTCAGGAACACTCAGGATAAAAGTCTACGATCAGGCCAGCCTCCTCTCAGCCGGGCCCTCAGGCACACCTCTCTTTGGCCTTAGCCTCTTGGCCTGGCCTCTGCTCTGCTTGGGCAAGTGTTACAAAGCTCTTTTAGGTCTTCCGATAGATGCACCTAGGTGCACCCTATGCCAACAGCAAGCCTCCTGCCCAAAGGCA